GGAGACGTGAGCAAGAGAAGCTGCAGACTATTCAGACTATTATTTGCTTTACTGAGAAAAAGTGGAGTCGTGAGCTCAAAAATACATTCAGCTTGAGCAGCAGCTGGCAGCAGTGAAAACAGGGGCTCCAGACAGGGATTGCTCTGATGTGCCTGCTATGAGGTGTTATTACTCCCAAGCACCCAGAACGAGAAGGTTCTGTCAGGAGACATAAGAAGCGGTCAAACCCTGCCAGAGTCACCATGCATCCAGCTGTGACACCCAAGCTCCTTACTGAAAAGTTTTTAATAGCACTAACAGGAATTTGGGGGTGTTTCTTCCCCTTATGAAAAATATCTTCCAATTATGCAAAATATCTCCCAATTAAGGCTGCTGGGAAAGCATGAAAGTGCTCGAAATAGCAGGTGCTACCGGGTTCTTCAGCCCTGGTGCTCAGAGACTTGCCACTGTCTTCTGCCAGCGTGGCTGCTTAAAGAGGAGTCTTAGGGGTTGGTAGTCCTTATTAGCAAATTGATCTTCCAGATCCAAGGTAGAATCTAAAAGCCTGAAGGAGGTGAGGGAAAAAAAAAAAAGACCTTTTTTTTTGTAATCAATCCAAATGTATGTTTACTTATGCAACTAACTAATCCTCCAGCACTTGTATCAAGAGGAGGCTGTATTTTACAGGCCAACTTTCTTAACATCCATTCAGAGCAGAGATTGTCTGGTGAATATTTAACAATGCTACTCTCATTTCTTTTTTGTGGTATCCCAGTGTATTGCTCTTCCAGGCAATCTATTGTCTCCTAGTTCTTGTATAATTGAGATTTTATTTTCTCTTTTGCTGCCACAGAAGTCAATTGCAAAATCTCCCTGAACTTGAGAGCAATGGCTTTTCTATGCATCTGTGTAGCAACTTCCTGGATTAGCCTTTTTAATGAAAAAACTTCACTCAATTGACTTTAACCCCACACTTATTATTATCTGTCCAAAACACAATAGGGTGACAAAAATACATCAATCTTAACTATTCTGGCATTATGATTTCTCTTAAGAGATCACAACTATGGCATATGTGTATAAACATTTTACCTTGCAAAAGAAAATGAAGTACAGTAACTAGGCAGAATCAACTCATGCTTTTATTTCCATTGCATATAAAAATTTCATATGAAGGTATTGATGTACAATACTATCCCCTAGGCTGTAAGAGAGGCTAAGAAACCAGTGAAAGAATCATCATGTGCAAGGTTCACACAAGTTGCCACTCTCAAGACATACCCAAAGAAAAAATCAAATTAAAACAATAACAAAAATTGTTCAGGATTTCTGTCGTTATAGTGTCCCTTTTATACTGTTTAAAACAAAAGCAATCAAATTCCTTTGGGCCAGGGCTGCTAAAATCTACAGTTTGTGTCAAAAAGGAGGCTCTGTTTTTCCTTGAAAAAGAATCTCTCCTTTCACTGAAGAGTCTCATGCTACAAGGGCTGGGCATCGCTAGGATGGGGAAGAGGTACTGCCCTCGCACTGGCAAATTCACTGCTATGGGGAGTTCAGCGTGCTCGAGGTCATTGTGATATTCACACCACAAAATATGCTCAGGTCCACCTTGCAAAACTAATACTAGTGTTATTAAAAGATATAAAGGTTATGTTTCTCCTATAGACCTAGTGCATTATGCTCTACACACCATTACAAAGCCTTAGATGCATCTACACAAAATAAAAGCTTTGGCTGCTTGTAATACTAATATTAGTGTTGGAAAGCTTTTCCAATATTATGGTTGTCTTTTGTCCTTCTTTATGGATTCTGCTTATGCAGTGATCACTGATGCTACTAAATAAAGATGGAATATTAAGGATAATTATAAAATAACACATAAATTAAACACTTTTAATTCCAACTATTTCACTTGCCAATATGCATTAGAATCAAATGTTATTAGAGATGCTGGCCATATAGCACAGTTTCCAACACTGTTTCAGTAAAAGTCTACTGAAACACAGCATCATTTTTTTCAGTAGCAAGGAACGGCTGCAATAATCCCTGATGATAGTCTGCAAAAAAGAAAATCAGAAAGGCAATACAATGATATTGCCAGAAATCTGGAAAAGCTGGAACTTCCAGTGAGGCCATGAATGAAAGCTAATTGCAATACATATATATACACTGGCTGGTACTAGTAATCCCATCAATCAGCAACTAAAAATATGGCTGGAATGCCCAGCCCTAGCCCCACAGCTACCTTGCTTTCAAATGCAGCAAAACAGAAGAAAATATTGTTTAAAGTTAAGGCACAGCCCTGGGACCAAAGACCTGCAGCTTTTTTATTGATATATCTTTATGTATTTTATACTTTTCTTGAATCTTCCATAAACGAGCTCTAAGGTGACATAGAATATATTACAGGAGAAAAATTGTACAAGGAATATGTATACACAATAATCATTCTCTCACCAAGAGTTTCCAAATATAGCAACACCACCCAGACAGGGATGATGTTATAATAAGAACTGATAATTTACAATTAACATTACAGTATGTACATTACAATAAATACATGGTTGTAAACAGAGACAAACAAGACTGTATTACAGGTAAGGTCATTTGGTGAGAAAAATGCATGGCACAAATAAAATAAATAACGCATTTTGAAAGAATTGTCAAAGCTTTCTGTAAAATCCATACCATTCAAGCTTCTTAAACTTCTGAATGCTATTTGTTCTACTATATTCTTCCATTATAGTTTTTTGAAACAATGACACAAAACAATTTAAAGTTCAAATACAGCATTGTTAGGTACAGTAACTTGCAAGCTAAAGTGTACTGTTGTAAGCAATGTGAATTTTGTATTTTCCTCACTCGATCCCCAACTCATTGCATTTTCTTATTGGAAAAATACTTAGAACACATAAAGCCACTTGTATTGGTTTAAAGCAGTGTGCAATGCAAAAACACACTTTGGCAAAAGAGGAAAAAAAAAGATTGTACAGTGCATTATATCCCTGGCTTTAAGAAATGATATAATTTTCTATTATTTGATTGGCCATATGTATGGGTGTATATCTCACAATATGATGTTATTCTCTTTATTCACGATCAATTAGTGCAGATACAAAACCTTTTCAGGTCCCTATTGATTATTTTGGAATTTATATTGCTTTTCCATTATTAGGTTTCCAGGCACTCTTGGGGACTGAAAGGATTTTTAGATGGGTTCAGGTTCAGGGAGAAAAAAAATAATAACAAAAAAAAGGTCAGCAAATGGAAAAAAAAAAAGGAGTTCTCTTCATTCTCTTTCCTCCTTCAGTATCTTCTGTGCTAAGGCCCTGTGAGGGCTAAAGGTAGAGGTGTCTATGTGCTGTATATAGAAGAATGCGAAAGGCTGAAAAGCTGAATTATTAGCCAAGAGGTTTTAAGCAGGTTTTTCATTATAGATCTCAAACACTAAAACAGACACCTATTCATATCCACAAATTTACTAAAAATATGAATATAAGCAGGTGAAATAACGGTTGTTTCTGTTTCATTTTGTTAAGAAATCATCTTTAACTTGCCATTTTACCAGAATGTTACAAAGTGGGAGTTTGTTTACTTCTCTAAACAATTATTTATCTACACACAAAACTGCGATTTTAATGAAGGATCAAACAGAGCAGATAAAATTCCTTCTAATTTCTTGTGACCAGGAGTGCAAAATGACAAATATGAACTCCTAACTCCCTTTAACCTTCCAGGTCACAAAAACTTTAGTACCAATCAAACTTAAAAGTAGGATTTCCTCAGCACAAGTTGGGTAAAGGATGCAAGCATCTGGAACTGAAACAACATGGAATAAATTATGACACTCATGAAGCACTGCTCATTTACTCAAAAACATAGGGGAAATAAAATATATTTAAAAAGAAAAACATAAAAGAAAACATGAGGAAAAGACTGCCCTTCGGGCCACAATAAAACAATGCGAATCACTATTATTTCAGATTAGCCAACAGTCTAACTAGACACCTGACACAGATAAAAAGTTAGTAAGGGAGACAAAACTGGAAATACGACACTCGTGCTTTTTTGCCAAAACAAATGTTCCATAGATTGTATCAGTCTGTTCTGGCTCAGCAATCTATAGCTCCCAGCAAAAAATATCCTGAAAATGATGTTTGAGACGGACTGATTTTATTAATCAACAGAAGAACTGTTTTTATATTAAAAAAGAAAACCACAATTCAGCACTTTTCTACTGGCTTTAGTCCTGCAAATCCTACCTGGATCTTAATGATCCAGTTGGTTTCGATCAGACCATGTATGTAAAGCTTAGTTTTGGAAGTAAGAAATATGGAACTGCCAAGATGAAATCACTATGACGAAAAGAACACAACTAAGTTCCTCTGATATGTCTGGAAAAAAAAAAAGTGTAATAAAATCTAAAGAATAGATGCCATCATACTGAAGGAGTTTTATGTAACATACAGGATATTCATGGCAGTCACTAATACATAAAATACTAGAATTTTACAGCTCAATATTACCATGAAATTCTAAGGTGCAAAACTGAAGGAAAGAAAAAAAAAACCCAGAAGTATTATCCAGTGTAGCACAGATTTGTACTGAAAACTTGCAAGTTACTCTTTGGAAAAAAATAAACAAAAACAGTGACAGTGAAGTCTGAAAGTGTTTTTCTTTAAATATAATACCTCAGTACATTTAATAATAAAAGTAAGCTCTACAAAAGATCTCTTTTACATATTATACAAAATGCAGAGGTTAGTGCAACCCACTGGGTTACACTTTTTTTAGTCATATATCAGGAAGACTTGAAATTAGAAAATTATGCAATTTCCACAGCTCATCTTCCCATTGGTAACAGATTCATGTTGTGTCCCATCACTTATGTGCATTTGTTTTCCAGTAGGAACCTCAGTTTATTTTCTGTTTCCTCTGATGATTAATATTTTTCAATGCTTTGCTTTTGAAATAAAACAAAATTAAAAGCCATCAAACCACACCAGCATTCTGTTGGCAGGTGGTACTCATCTGAAAATATTTGCTTTATTTAACCAAATCTGCCAAATGGAGAACTTGTTAAAATGTAGTTTATGGATGTTCTTCCCCCTGCTTTCTGATGCTATGGAGGTGAAAATTCTGGTTACAATATTCCTGAGTGCCAAACTGGGTCATCAAGGTCAGTTTTGATCAACAAACGTCCTGGCAGATGACAGTGAGTTGTGATCATGGTTATAGCACATGACAACCTTTGGAAACCTTTTCTAATTAAAAAAAAAATGACAGAGAGAAAGAGAATGGGAGAGAGCAACAGAGAAAGAGACTGCATCTTCATCGTTACGTATCAGGAAAACGGTCTTCTACTACACAGGGTTCTGTCGGGTTCTCCTCCTCTTCCACTTCTTCCCCTACTTGCTCATCAAGAGGAATTTCGGTGGATTCTGAATCCTGGGTGCAAAGAGTCTTGGAGTCACTGCAGCTGGTGTCTTCTTCTACCTGACTCCCACTGTCCTTTTCGGTGTCTGACTCACCATCTTCCTCCAGGGTTAGTTCAAACTGGAATTTTTCAGTTTGGCCCTGCCTACCCTCTTCCTGGTCATCAGGTGCAGGAGAGGGACTTTGAGGGATTGTGCTCTGGTACCATTCTCGATTGTCCTCCAATGTATCTAGGATATCCTGGGCATCCGGGTGAACAAGATCTGCCCATGTCTCCCACAGAGGATGAACAATGTAGTCTATAAACCCCACCTGTTTCAAACAATACAAAATAAGCGAGAGATCTTATTCATTGGCAAATAAACAATTATGCATACAGGTTACCTTTATTATTTTTCTGTACAAAAGTTTTTCTGAACAGACACACTGTCAAAAAGGAAGGAAGAACAGTGCCTTGGAATTGTCATGAGACATTGGAGACACTATCCTGAGTGTGGCTGAAAGGAACCCATGCTGTTCTATGTAGAAAATAGATTCTTCTAGCATCTCAAAAATCTGATTCAGGATAAGGACTTGGAAAAGATTTGTCTTCAAAGGGACTGTTCGTTCCAGACAACTCCACTGCATCTACTGAGCCAAACAGCTGTTTTATATTTAGTCCTGCTTTTGAAGGAAATACTAATAAGCAGATATATAATGTTCTTTTCTGAAACATACACTTCATTGCAGATAACTACAGGGAATTCCTTTAGCAAACACACTGCTATGCCCTGCTATGCTTCATAGTAAGAAAATGTCCCACACCCTCTACTCAAACACTGAATTAACTAGGGAAAAAAAGAAGAAGAAGAAAAAAAAAGAAATCTACATTCAGAAATTCATCAAAATAAACCGGCCATCCTTTTCTATTAAAATGTCACAGTATGTTATGTGACTGCTATTCAAATCAATTACCTGTGATTTTTCTACTGACGCATTGTGCTTATCACACATGGGACTTATCTCCATTCCCCTCTCTCTTTCTCTATCTCCTTGACGGAAGAATTCCTCCATTATTCTGTCTGTCCACTGGCGGTACAGATGGAGTGGCTTGGTTGGATTGCTTAGATCTGCACAGTGCACCATATTCTGAAGAACCTAAAATAAATGCAAACATATTTATTGAGCACCTGCTGTGTTATTACACTAGACAAAAAAAAGGCTCTCTTTCCTCTTGCATATTAGATAGCTGTGAAACAGATTTGAAAATACATGCAGTGCAAGATTTATTCTAAACAGCAAAAATTTATGTGCAGGGGTGGTTTTAGCACTTGTATTAATAGCTATGAACTGTCTCACTTCTGCAGCTTCTGTCTATGTAAGAGGTAGAAAATATTTGAGGGAAAGACCAAACACACAGGTTAAGTTCGAAGGGTAAGTCAAAGCCAAACTACATCCAGAAAAAAAGTGCTTTGCCAACTCATCACCCTCCCAAAGAGTCACTCAGTACCTAAGAGAATATGGCATATGTGAGAAATACATATGAAGAAGAGGACACAAGAGAAATAGTCATGAAGTATGAGTCGACAGCTGGTCTAACCCATACTGGGCAGGCAAATGTTATTAACGACATAAGTTCACACAAGTGACCATTTTCAGATGTTCTTACCTGAATCCTGTCTGAATAGTTATCAAGAAGTAGGACACCAGAACTTGTCACTTTTTTGGTTTCAACCATAGTTTTCAAATCAGCCAATAGATTCATATGTTTAGACATGTCTGTTGCAAGTACCTTCAAATAAATAAACAAATTAAGAAAACTTTATTTTGACTGTTTTATTAAAAGTCTTTAAATACAAAAAGAACCATTTCTGGGGGAAAACGTAACTGCTATGTCAGAATATACCGGTAAAGTTTGAGCCTTGTATGTCAGTAGTGCACAAACAATAAGTTTTTGTTTTAAAAATATAACAAAATAACTAAAGCATCATAAAGATTTGATCAGCCTAAGTTCATCACCAATTCAGCAGCAAATTCTTAACTGTGATGCTGCAAAAGCAGACATAGACATTTTGGTATCAAAACAGCCTGAAGCAAGATTGTATACCTTTCAAAAATGTGTAGGTGATATTTAAATTGAAAAAAAAACCTGTTATTCATGTTTGGACAATTTATCATAATACCTTACTGTGCTAATAATACTCAACAATAATAATAATACCCTATTTGACAGCACAATGCAAGTGCAAATCTGAAGTTGAACTTACAATGTCAATGACCATTTTCCTCAATGATTGCCTCTGTTTTTTGGTCAAATTCTGGAAAATATCACAATTCTCTTCCTGCAGCAGCTTGAAGCCCACAGCTATGTGGTGATTCTCCAGGACTGATGAGTCATTGTACATCAAGGCGAGTTCAGAATCTGCAGTAACAGGCACAAGGCAGAATGTTACTGAAGTCTATACTTCCAAAGTCTATACTATATGATTTTTCAGGTTCATTATGTTCATAACAGAGTTAAAGATGAGCTTTCAGAAACAGAAGTTCTGTAGTTCACATCAGAGCACAAGTTACAATATTAATGGCTAAACATCTTAACAAATTGAGGCAATGTGTTTTGAGGAAAACAAAAAAATAAGCTTTGCAGCTGAAGTGTGTACACAGGCCTGAAGTGGCAAGTTAGGAAACAGTACACAGATGGTATTTTCAGAGCTCTTTCTTGATCTTTTTCCTGGAAAGTCCTGTGGCTTGAAAATGTCAGTAGTGGCCTTGCCTTTTGTCTCATACTTATGTTAGTCCTCATTATCTTCTTCTACAGCAACTTTGTTTTAGAATCCTGCTGGCTCAATGGGGTGCCAGTAAAAGCTCCCCTCTTCAGATTTCATGAGTCTTATTATGCAATCTCCTGCTGTCTCCCCCCACCTCCTGAACATGTCAATCTTGTGATTGTGAATCAGGAAATCCCTCCTCTACTTTCCTCATCCTGATGGCAGCAAAGCCATAATAGCATAAAGGAAAAAGAATGTGAATTTGTTATTGTCTTCATCTTCATCTTCCACAGAATATTTATGAAGCTTGCTTACTTTTTATTTTTTGTTCTCAGTTCTGAATGGAGGTGGAAATAGAAGAAAGTTTCTCCTTGGCAATCTCCAGAACATTTTGCAAACCTCAAGAGTATTCATCAGGAAGGACAGACTTACAATAAGCAAATAAGCATTTTGTTTTGCTAACAAAATCTGTATTTGTTTTCCCTTTAATATTATTTAAGAGGGGTCTGATTTTTGGATAACTGTGTAAAGCAGGTCTTAAATCCTGAAATAAGGAAATAATTTTTGGAAATATCACATTATGAAAATCACCAAGAATAAGCTGAAATGTGGCAAATATGTCAATGTTTTAAGCAGTGTCAACCATTTTTTTATTATACTTCTTAGTAAAAAATAAGTAAGTACACTGCAGAGATCAATGGAAAACGCAGAACTAGATGGAAGCAAAAATGTTCCAGAGGCTAGGAAAATCTGGGGCTTGTGAGATTTCCTGTGTAACTTTTGTAAAAGCCAAGTGTACGCTGAATTTTAAACTTTCATTGAAATTGGTGGGCATTAGACAGCTAAATACATTTAAATGTGGTGGGTTTTATCTCCATCTCTGTCCTCTCAGCTTCTTTGTGCACCTAAAAACTCGAAAGGGATAAAATCCCTTTGCCTCTTTCTAGCTTGACAACAACAGTACCAGTTAGTGAGATGTGTCAATCACATGGACTCCTTGCCTGTCTTGGCTGAATTTGAACTGCCTGTCTACAAGTAAAAGCTTTAAGTAGCACTGATGGTCCCTTCATCCTGTTTACACTTAGCAACTTAATGGTTTTCCCATAGCATTTCAAAGGCAGCAATATATTCTGCTATTCAATCTCTGACGGAAAAGAGAAAAAGCTTTTATTTATACCTGCCCACTCTTAGGCATCCATATATTAGGCACTGTTTGCTGCACAAAGCTCAATTCACTCTGTTCCTGCTGCAGAACTGTACTCTTTATCAATACAGCACCTGAAATCTAGAGACAATCCCAATCCTTCTCCCAAGTGAGTCATCAAATTGAGTATCACTAGAGGGTAGCCCTCAGGCCATTAAAGCAAATAAAATTAGATGCAGGCAAGACTGAAGGTCTTACTCGACTGTACAGCAGCTGTGAGTCAGAACCAGGAGCTCCCTTCTTCAAACTATATTCCCCTTTCTGGGTCATGCTATTTCAGTAGTGCAGTAGATTAAACCAAGTCAAGAAATGACACTCTATAAATGTGTAACCAGATGGGTCAAACCTGCCACCCTGGATATGTTTCCATTTCTGTAGCTTTTTCTTCTTATATGTTTTGATTCTTAGTATTATTTCAACTTTTGTACTTTTAGACCAGTTAATATAAAAGCAGAAGTTGAGATAGCAAAACAAAAAATAATAAGATATGACAGAACTTGCCTTGACACACTACCCACTTAAAATAGCAACATACACCACTGATATCAAAGTAGGTTAAACTGGGGCAACAATCCATTTAGTAAATGTGTCATGATCAGGTTCAATGAAGTTAATATGGCTTTTCTTCTAGTAGAAAATTAGAGGGGAGGAAGTGGTTCATGCAATGGTGCAGAAAACAGCCTTGAGGAATGGTGCAGAAGTACAGTTTCAAATTTGAAAGTTGGCATTAGGAACTTATTTCATCAGGGATTTCTTCTCCATATGTGGAGCAAGAAACACACAAAAGAAAGAAGATGCTTGCCATAGCCTCATAGGTAGGCAGCCAAAAGTCAGTCCAAGAGGCTGAATTAGTATGCAGAGGTCAGAAAAAAACTAGAGCTGCCATGGAGAAACAAAGATGAACCTGGTCTTCTGTTTTCTAAAAACCAGCCTATTTTCTAATATGTTTCCGGTATAAACATAATAGCTATTATATTTCTTCTTTGATATTTTGTATAATCTTCCTCCATTTTTTTTCAATTTTTTTATTAATTTAATGCAAACCTTACAAAATTCCAGGAAAGAGATCACATGCAATACACTGAAACAGTGCTCCTTTGATAGCGAGTTCAACCCTAGTAAGGCCCTAGTAATTCTTGTGAGAGGATACTATGTAGACTATTACTAAGGTTACAAATAGTGCAAAATAATATAAGTAGCTGCTTCCTGAGAAAAGGTACAAATGAGAATGAGTTGAATGCACAGATCTTGCAGTAAATCTATGAGAAAACCACAGAAGGTCACACTTACTTGTGTTGATAAGAAACTGGTTTGAAACCCCCGGATGATCTACATCATGTATTGCACTGGCAAAAATTGCTGCAAGAATCTCCAAGTCAGTGAACACTGCCTAGAAAACCATGAAACAGAAATGAAAATACCTAGTCAGCAAAAAAGTATTTTCAAAAAAGGGACTGCATTTTGAAACTAGAGCTGAGCAAGCAAAGTACATTTGAGGTATCAGAATTTTAAGAGGAAATGTTTGTAGACAGATGATAATAACTCTCTGTAAAAACATCCATTATATAGATGTCTGGTAAACATTTCAGGCTTAGCCATCAAAGTAAAACTATGCTTACTTCAGAATTGCTGAACATTGACAATATCACTAAATTCAGTAGCAACTGAAGTTTTTTTTTTCAGCTTCAGCCTGCAAATATATTCACTTTCACTACATCATTAAGTACAGATTTGGGTCTCTCAACTACAGCACAAATTAAATGTAAAATTTCAGCCTGATTCTTACATATTATGGTATTATGTTATAACATACATGCCTACGCTGAACAATAAACACATAGTATTTGAAAGAAGTACAGTTCCTAAACGATATTGAAGAAAATGCTGACACGCTATAAAGAATGTAACAAAATCTAGTGATTCTTCTTCTGTATGAGATCATTAGGAAGATAGGGCTAGAGGACTGGAAAGGACCTGATGCGACACTGAGTCCAATCTGCTGTTGTCACTAGAAACCAAGTTACATAATAGCTTTCATAACTGATCAAGAACAGCTTGTAAGTACATAGGTCAGCAGTGGCATCCAGGAAATTAGTATTTTAATGCTATTTTGCAAAGAACAAAGCCATAATAATAAAAAGAAACCCACACCACCAACAACAAATGATTGCTACTGCCAATCACTCCAGGTGTCTGCTGAGGCCAGTAGTGACTTATGCAGCCCACATCTTCCTTTTTGAGATAAAGACATTTTTTTCTAAAAGAATTCTTGAATCTCTGAGGATCAGGACATCCCAACTGTCTTTAGATCTGGTTATAATGCTCACTTTAGTAAGAAAGTAAGGCAAAAACACTCAGTAATAACAAAGATTGGTCATTATGAATGAAGAATCAAAATGCAGCCTTGCTTCAAAATGCGGTTAAATCCTTCTGAGCTACTGAAATTTCATCTACTTACTTTATCTGCCTTTTTCCCCCACTATACTGGGATATGTCAATGTTTGTTATAGTAAGGATTGAATCATGCTTAAAGAAGGGAAATAAATATATTTCTTCAACTTCCCAGAATCACTTTACGCAATTCACTAGAAAGTAAGTACATGATCATATCTAACCGAGAAAAAAAAGAAAAAAAAACACACAAAAAAAACACGCAGGTGAACCCTTTCAGGTTCAGAATGAATAAGCAGGAGCTAAATAAATAAATAAATAAATAAATAAATGGAAGAATTCCCTTTCAAATGGAATTAAATTTATGACCATCTTTCTTAAGTATTTCCACTGACTGTGGTTAGCAATAGTTTTATATGTGTAACAATGACTGAACAGGATGTAGTTAATAATGAGATGCTGGAAACAAATTACACATGGTGTTCCAATGAAAAGATTGTGACAGGAGAAATCTCAAAGCATAAAATCGTGCTTCAAAAATTTCCTCCACAATAGTTACATGTAAGTAAACTTTGATCCTCATAAAGTATCTTTAAAAGAGAATTAATTCAAGAAACAAATGTCAGGATTTCTTTTTTTAAAAAAAACCCACAGACTTAAGATCTTTAACATTCAGTTTAGAAACATCTTAGTATTTTCCCTTCTCTCATGTTTGCTCCTTCTCCATTTCTGTGTTGTTTACCTCCAGCGCTGGGGTTGATAGCAGGACATGGGTTGACTGAACAACATCTGCAGCATGTATATTATTGTGATATGCCACATCTGCATGGTAATGATCTTCTAGAGTCATCAAGTAAGTTATTAAAGTGTCTACTGGAATTTTAAAAGTTTTTAACAAATCCCGTTCCTGGAAATAGAAAGAGAAACAGGTTATAAAGCACAGAAAACAGGTTATAAAGCACGATCTCCAACATAAGCAAAAAGCCACATGGCTGTGCCTACTTGCCTGAAAAATGGTGTGCATGATGACTGTAAAAGGTCTGTTTCCAGATAATTCTGCTACTCGGAAAACCTGAAGGCCCCATTTGTTTACATCTTCTAGTTCCTGGAATAGAATCCAACAAGATACTTTGAAATCTAACGCACATATTGCAAAGGTTTTTGATTGAAACAGTTTTAAACAGCACACCCACAAAGATTCAAAGCTCGCAATATGATTTAGCTACTGTGAAAATAATGTGCTGAACTCTCTGAAATGATGGAGGCTGCAGCTACTAACTTTATAACATCTGAATGTACAGCTATCAACTTGCCAGAATTTAACTCAGTAGGTAGGGAGGAGTCCATATTTTAAGTGGATTGTTCCAGAAGGAAAAATGCTATAGGATCTTGAATACATTGATCTGTCACACTTTGTTATCTACCTGCCCAGTAACGGCAGAGTTCACCTGGCAGGAAACCTCCAGAGATGCTGCACTTCTCCTACCATCTCACCTGCTCTCAAAAGCAGAATGTTCGAATAAGAAGTGTATTTCAAAATGCAAAAACCTAAAATTGGATTAATCTCTTTATGCCAGTTTTATGTTATTGTCATATAGTTAACTGCTGATGCCATCATCATGGGAAATTTCACTACAAATTAAAATGCAACCGATGTACATTAAATGGTAAAGCTGAAGACAGGACTTGCAAGGATATCTCTAATGCCATATGCACTGGTGCATTTCAAAACAACAGAGCTACTATATATTTGCTTCTGACAATATAAGAGTTTTCATTCTTAGATTGTATTTATTAATAACCAGCTTTATTAACGAATACAAATTCACATTTGCATTCCATGCCCAGAAAGCAAATATTCTTGTTGGAATCCTCTTAGTACTGAATTAACCCTCATGGCCTGATTCTGACAGGTTATTTTTCCACTGCACCGGTATCATATTATTTTAATGAGATCAGCCTTTGGTATTACAGCCTGAAATCAATGGTTATAAACACAGGAAATACTCTTAAATCAATTCAACAATCTTTTATCTTGATTCAATAGTTTATATTCAAAAATTTAAATATTCTTTACCTTGGCAAGAACATCTTCTTGATCTGTTTTAACTCCAAACCTGGGAATACTGGAATTAGTTAAACTGGAGCTGTGCATCAGTTTTTTAACTCCACTGATCTGTGACATTGGCCTCTTCTTTTTCTCTTTCTCTTTCTGTGTTGGAGAAGGGATTTCAACTTCATGTTGTTTGTCTTCAAAAGAATGAAGAAAAACAGAAAAATTATGTCCACTTTACTGTATAGTTTCATACTATGGACATTGCAGTTCCTAACAAAAAATGCGTATTTTATTTATGTGTGAAGATTTTGCAGTAGGTATTTCATGCCAACAGCATTAGAGAAATGTGAAGCAACATAAACTTAGACTATTTCTGAGTAAAACAGAACTGTGTGTTAAAGACTTCAGTAATATTAAGACTACCAAGCACGCATCTTCTGCGATTTTTCATGGAAGGCTTTTTGGAAGACTGAAGAGATAAGATTCTCAGCAACTTTCCCAGAAGAAAAAAAAAGTTACAGGCAAGAAAAGACTTTCTGCCAAGAAGCTAGGAGTTTGCATTATTTTTTGATGATTTTATTCATACAGCTTTTTAACTGTCAGCTTTACTGACTATGTCCAAATTATCTCCTCTCTTTTCAACACAGTAGCTTCAACACCTTAGTATACACACCAAAAAATAAAAAAAAAAAGGGGAGGGGGGAAGGAGTCATAAATATCCGATATGTCCATTTTTTTCATTTCTGTATTGGACATTTTCAAAAAAGAAGTTGAAAGCAAATGCGAGCAGCAAGTTTATTCCTAATATCTATATTCTTGTATTTGTTTCCTCACTTTTTTTCTTTTTCTCCTTTTTTTCTCTCTTCCTTTTTTAATTACCCTTGAGTAGTCTGCACTAACTGGAGACCTCTGAGAATTCCAAGCAAATCACAGTGAAGAGGAGACTCTGGAAATGTCACCAAGCTTTAGCCTGCAGCACAGAGCTCCCTGGCTGCTCCCCACCACTCTCCTCATAAGGAGAGCCACAAAAAGGGGGAGAAGGAGCACGAGAGCTCCGGACTGGTGCAAACCGACAGCACATGAAGTGCACTGACTCGTGCTCCTGCTTTGATGTTTATGCTCTTGGTCATATGCACAAAGTTTAGGCCCATCAAAGGGAGGTTCATACACAGAGCTGTCAGAGCAACTCGAGTGAAAGGAAGTGTCTGTCTGAACAGCTTTAGATCTTCGATGGAATTCCACAGAATTGCCAATGTTTTCCTAACTGTGAGCACATTAAACAAAATATCCTCGGTCCAGTCTTACGTCCAGAAAAGATAATATGCCATTCTGGCATGAAGTTTTTGTATCAAGTTATTTTATTCTTATTGGCAAGCTCTTATATATTTTAGGGCTGTAATAAAACAGGTCAGTTAATTTGAGAAATAAAAAGCTGCTGTAGTATGATATTCAGTGTAGGAGCCTTAATCTTTACACAGGGAATATTTTTGCTGTATTTCTTGTTATAAAATTGTCATTATTAAAAACTTCATACATATCATAGAGCTCTACCTGGGAATACAGTCCTAAATGGTGTTTTCCCCCTTGTATCCTCCTGTATCTTCATTTTTAAGTATCCAAGGTTTTTATTTGCATGCAGCCAGACTCTGAGCACTCCAAGGGATTCTATTCCCAGAGCTCCTTCAGCTCAAGGCTGACAGATGCATTTCCCTAGACCTGTCAAAATGAGTCTTGTATTTTCCAGTGAAGGCTTGCAGACACTGACTGATACCTCCAGCCTTTCAGCGAGTCTAAGTGGGTCATCGTCTCAGGCAACCTCACGTGGAGCCTTCCAGGGCTCCATTCTCCACAGCAGAGGCTCATCCCTTGCCAGCTGCGGGAAATCCTGCTGTGCTGCTGTTCTCGGAGAGGGTTACTCAATTCAGCAGCCACATTCAGTCTTTCAGAATATACAGTGATAAGTAGAATACAATATGCTTAAAAAACTCTGCTTCCTTAAAAAAAAAAAACCCACACATACACACACACATAAAAGCCCGAACTATGGTAACACACATGAATAAAACAAGACGTATCCTAAAATATATCATTGACTGGTACTTCTTGAAGTACCTGCTATTCTAATTCAGGCATGTCCAGCTGTGCTTCTCTTATACACAGTCTTTGTGAACCTATAGTGTTTCTCTCAATTTTTCTATTACTTTGCATATTAACTATATATTCATGTTCAAATCCACACAGATGAGATAATATTTCATTGCTTTTAAATGATTTTATCACAAAAATACCCTGCCTTTTGCAAAGCCATGGAGGAGGAAGCATAATCTTTGTAATATTGTGTCAGGCTTTTTTAATGCTTGCACCCCACCATGTAAGCACTTTAGCTGTACATATTCTCCCACCCAGCAGCAATCTGTTCAGACTCTGATTTAGCCATGTTTGCCCACTTTCTCCTGTGCAGGCTACGAATGCCAAAGCATCAGAACTGCGTGCTGTGAGACTTAATGAGGTTACTTATATTTATGTACTTTTGGCACCTCTTTGGTGTAACTTTCCTTCTGCTCATATGGAACACAGAATGGAAGAATGATTTTTAGTATATGAAATATATTATATTCATTATATATTCACTTCTATATTCATTATATATTCACTTCCTAATGTGGTACTAACATATTAGTTGAAATTAATTAATTGTACATGAATATACATCTATCTATAACTACACACACACACAGGGAAACGACATAAAAAAAATTGAATGAGCTGTGGAGAAATGCATCTACCACGATCTTTCTGCTCAAATACTGAAAAATGAAATAGAAAAAGTTTCTGGAAGCAGAAAATAATATGGAAAGGTACTTGCTTCTAAAATGCATCACTGCATAGAGAGAGATAAAAAACAAAAGGCAAAAAATGGACTCCAGGCGACTTACCTAAGAATGTATTTGATATATATTCTGAGACTTGATTGCCT